ACATGAAGTCTTGGTATATATCATATATGTTCTCTAGTTTTATGTTTTTATAAGAAAATATCTTTTAATAACATAACTATTGTAACTCGCATCCATTAATTATAATCCAATTGTACTTTCAAATAGCTATAATCGAATTATATGGAGCATTATATAATCCCTTGATAATTACATCAGTTAAAATCAATTACTTTATTAAGACTTTCCTGGATAATCATTACTATATTTTAATATGTAGAGAGAGGTTACAAGGAGTGGTTAAAATACTCACCAAACCTCTAGAATATCTCTCTCTTGTTATCAACTTTTTGTTTTGAATTTATCTCTGGTCCTTTTGGGTGTCCATTTTTTTCAATCCTAACCTCAACTTTATGTATGTATAGGTACTTATGAATACACAAGCACTGCACTGCACTTAGATTCTTTGCCTACCATCATATTGATCCATTTTATTTAAAAGTTTTAGTTGTTGCATAAGTGATAAATTAATTTACTTTTTGAAATTGCCTTTAAAACCTAACACAAAGGGCGAATACTACCACAAGCTGATGCAAAGTCATGCTTTCAAGTTCAATATCATTTTTTTTGTGATCCATACTAGATCAAATCGAGTAATCATCTTGTCTTTTGCACACACTAAGTATAAAATCCAACATCACTTATATATATAAGTATATTTAGATTACTTCTCTTAGTGAAGTTGACATTTCAAAATGAATTTTAGAACTCGGTATGCTATCATAATTAAAAAGAAAAAAAAAAGGGTTATATAAACAATTTGAAGCAAAACTCAAATGAGCAATCAAATTTGAAGTTACATACATTGAGATAAAGACAACATAAAATATTGTTTGCTAAGACTTCTAGTTAGTTTCCTCCTCATGCTTAATAGACAGCCAAGAAGCCTCTTGTCAAGTTGGTTTCGACATAGGTATGTTAATCTAACCAAGAAACACAATTAGCCCTTAGGAAACAGGAGAAAATTATGGAAAATTACAAAATACACCCACAAGTTATGGTATATTTTCATTTTCTACACCATATTTATTAAATTTACACTTTACATACTACATTTTAGAATATGGTTATAAATTATTATTACTCATACATAATAGAAAGCTTTCTTCTTATTAAATTATATGTTTTTATTAGTTATATTTATATATTCTTCTTATTTATGAAGTTTTCCCTTGGAAAGGAAAAAAAATCCATAAAAATACAATAGATTATTCATGATTTGTTAAGAACTCGCAAATGCATCTTGAGATGCAGGAACGTGTTCCTCCAATAATTCTTTCTTTAATTTAACTTTTTTCTTAGAAAGTAACTTAGCTAAAAATTTTAACCATTTTTTTCAAGTTGCAAAAGTAAGAATTGTTATAAATTACAAAAGACTAAATGATAATACTATAAAAGATAAATATAAAATATCAGATAAACATATGTTAATAAATAAAATACAAAATAATAATATATTTTCAAAGTTTGACTGTAAATTTGGATTTTGACAAATAAAAATGGCTAAAGATTCTATTCTTTTGGACAACTTTTACTATACCTCCAGGACATTTTGAATGGTTGGTCATCCTTTTTGAATTAAAAAATGCACCCTCTATTTTTCAAAGAAAGATGAATAGCATTTTTAATTATTTTCCATTTATTTGTATATATAGATAATATTTTAGTATATAGTAGAAATCATAAGCATTTAGAGATAGTTTTAAATAAATTCATAAAAACGGTCTAATTATAAGTAAAAAAGAAAATGGAAATAAATAAAATAAATGAGTTTTTAGGAATAATTTTAATAGAATGAAAAATCCAACTACAACCACACATAAGCCTTTTTTTAGGAATTTTGAACTATGGTAGACATTTTATTAGAGATTTAGGACAGAAAGTAAGATCATTGTATAGTAAGCTGTCTAATAAGGACAAAAATATTTTAGTAAGTCAGATATAGAACTAGTTAAAAAGATAAAAGAAGAAATTAAAAATTTACCATCATTAAAATTACCTTTAGATAGTGAATATAAAATAATAAAAACAGATAAATGTGAACTATGATGGGGAGGAATTTTATATTCTAAACCAAATAAATATAATGATAAAAATGAAGAAAAGATTTGTAAATATGCTAGTGAAAAATATAAGATAAAAGAAAAATACTTGACTAATTTGGATTATGAAATAATGGCCATCAGATATAGCATAGAAAATTTTAAATTATTTTTAAATATTGTATTTACAATTAGGATAGATTGTGAAGCTATAGTCAAATTTATTAAAATGATAAATTTTGACAAAATAAGACATAAAAATGGTTAAAATTGTATGAAATATTGAATAGTTATAAAATCAATATAGAATACATAGATAGGAAAAATAATATTTTGACAAATAATTTAAGTAGAGAAGTTATTAATATTCCAACCAATTATTTTCATGGTGCAGATGGATCAAATGATAATAAACTTCGAGAATGTCACTCTAAATCTAAGAGTGACCCCACAAGAATCCAATCTCCGATTCAAAGGATATAATTTCGAAAGATTTTTAGAAAGATAGCTATGTCTACTAGATAATATCTGAATGGCACGTAACTATAAACTAAAATTAGATAGCATTAATGCTCTAGATAATTATTTTAGACAGATTTACAATCAAGTAAAAAGTAGAAGTTTTAGTTTCTTTGTAGTAGTTAGGTAGAAATCCTGGTATATATAATTATTGGTTAGAAGAATTACAAAAAGCAGAATGATTTTTAGACCCATTTTTCAATTAAATTTCTGTAGAGAAATGAACCGCTACATCTCAACTAACATCTTCATTTTCATCAATATAATTTTATGATAGTTATGAAACTATGACCAATGTTGTTATAGATTTGAATAATAGAAAGCATTCATTACAAGAAAGATTACAAATCCTTGAAAATGAAGTGTCTCCATCTCAACAGGTCATTAGTAAATACCAAAATGAGATTATTCAATTAAAAGGACTCAATTTTAGATATACTGTTGAAAGAGATATTGCTCCTACAAGCAAAAATTATTCTAATAAAATAGAAAGACTTATTGAATTAACAGACTCTATAACTGTAGGGCAATAAAAGACTTTATATGAATTAGAACAGAAAATTGGCTATTGTGCTAGTCTTGTTCAAAAATCTATAAAGCAGCCAGTCATACAGGAAATAATCAATTTTTATCAAATTCTAAGCTACTATCACAACAAAAATCGATATTTTCTTAAATATGGCCCAAAATACAAATCATCTATTAAAAATCGACTTTTCTTAGACACAATTATCCTCCAATTTCTTTTATTATAATTTTTTATTAAAAAAAGGATCTTTTTTTATCCAACT